GATAGAGCATTTATCAAAAAATACTATAGGCTATAAAATCACGCTATGACCAATATGAACCGAACAGAGCGAGTGACACTGCATCGGAGTCGCTAGTGTATTGAAAATTGAAACTCAAAGCTAATACTTACTACCTATTCAGGAAAAAAATACTAGTAGAAGGGGAGCCCATGAAGGGATTTCGGTAGTTACTCAAGCGCGTCAGATTAACTTATGGGGAAAACCTAGTGTCATGTTGAATATACCCACCATATATCCGATCTGATTAGAAGGGGGGGACGAAAAATTAAAAAAAAAGTCTGACTAAATAAAGTCAGTTTCTTCAGATTAAGGGAAGGTAGGTCAATACCATGCTAAAGGAAGTGCGTTTGAAAAATCTGCCCATTCCAACCTGATTTGCAAGAGTGGGGGGATTTTGAAGGGTTCTCGTTCGTACTCTCCAGAACATTCAACCCCGCTATGAAAACTGGCAGATTAAGAGTTTTTTATTATTAAATACACATGGAGCATGTACACTATCAATATCTGATACGCTCGACCACTAGAACAAAAGTTACGCTCAACAATTTCAAAGATCTGTGGATTCTCCCTTCCCCCACCGGTGGAAGAAATTGTTACTAAACCATTTCTTCTTTCTATCAACATATCTTCAAAATCCAGTAGGTTCCAACGACGCTCAGGTAAATCCAAATTTAGCATCGTGGGCTCCCCTACTATAGTAAGTCAGTCCTAAGTGGTTGCAAGTTTAGATTCAAAATTCGCCTCAAAAGTAGCTTAATCATAGTCCACGGACGTCGTTATTTAAGCCCTTATCTAACATCTTCAATCTAAATGAATTAGTGGCCAGCAGGACTTATTATTCCAATGGTTACATTTACATTCGGCAATGCAACGTGGTTTGCATATCAATTAAACTTATAGTTACGACGGTCAAGATTTTTGAGGACATGCTGAGTAGATGGATTTTCCATGGTAACCAGTTGTGGTACAGTCCAAGGCACGAGCCGTGACCAAGCATTTCGTGGTTGGGATAAATCTTGCTATGAATTTGGGTCATCGTCATCAACAGCCTATAAATGCCCACTGCTGAGCAAAGCCTCTTCTCACACGGAGAAGGTTTGAGCATTAATTACCACGCTTGCTCAATGCGGGTTGGCGATTACAAACTTATAATAGAAATTATAGGTTTCCTCACGATGTTTTCCTTCGCCGTTTGTCAGTGGTGTCTAGATAATCTTAGAAAATACATATAACTCGGAAAAAGTCTCATTGGTACTTGTCGTTGGTAGGTTTCGAACCCGAACTCTCAGGAATGAGAAACGGGCGTCTTAAACGTCCGGGCCACCACGAATAGGTAGGGTTGCGGTAGCCACCAGGGTTAACCAACTGGAACTGCGACCTAAAGAGTATTTTTTATATATTAAAAAAGAGGTTCTCAATTTGACCTGTATGTATGTTTGTGCGCAATTATCTAGCGATTGGCTGACCCGATTTGGTTTTCAGAAAAGTATTTTTTTACACTTTGGAGAAGGATTTAATATATTAATTAATCGACATCAAAAAAGAGGGGGTTGAAGTAGGCTTTTTTTAAACGTAGTTTATATTATTGTACACCGATACCTACTAATCAATATATGAATGACAGATCCAGGTATCGAACCTGATCCAAATCTCTGGAAATGAACAGTAAACAAAAGCCCTGTTTTCGTAACGTCACGTCACGTCTTCATTTGAATGTCACATGAGACGTGTGTGTCATAATTAGGTGACCAATTTCCTCATTGAACACTTTTCGGTTGAGGTGATCTGCATTCAAAGGAAAGTTGGTAGAGGCAATTGATTTTAAGGCTAAATATATGTTCGAATATCAAGTTCATAATTTTTATTTTATTTTATTTATTACTTCTTCACCAAAGATGACAGTGAATGGCGGACTTAATGCCTTAAGGCATTATGTGACAGTCAACCATAGGGATAATGTCATATGACACCATTTAGTCCCTGAAAGGTCAGGCAGAAATTATTCAGGTACTCAGGGTCACATACTTAGGATCCCCTTTTAATAGAAAAACAAAGCCCTTTAGTTATACTCAGAGTGCACTGGTCAAAAAGGCTGTTAGGTTCTTGAAAACATTGGGCTCTCGACGCAAACCTATGCTAAAAATTTCAAATCCGAAAATCTCAATAACATAATAAGGGTCATAGTCTCCAATATCCAAGTACCTTTTCCGTCCAATATTGGCTCCAATGACATTTGCCAATTGTACCATTGGTATCACCGATACACTTGGTACAATTGGCCAGCTATTTTAAGGCTATTTATAAACTGTAAGTTCGTGACTAGAATATTGAGAAATGGTTGAAATAAGTTTGTTTACAATTTTCTTTTAAATGTTTATACTATATACCTAGTGTCACGGAGAACCTAACGGGTTTCCGGGGCTCTGGCTCGTAGTGCAGGAGAAGGAACGGGGTGGTTTTTAGTCAGTAAGAGTCTGACACTCCCTCCCGTCTCACCCAGGTGGGAGCAGTAATTCGATGATTTTCCCCACTTAAAAAAAATACTATACCTAGTGCCAAGTAAGTAAGTAAGTATCGGAATTTTCGAATCTTGAATCCGGGTACCTGGAGTTTTGCGATTTTAAAATGTTAATGGATGATGATAATAAATTTGATGAAATGATAAATTTTAAAACTGATGTTTGCGGCTTTTTTAAGACTATAATCTCTAATTAACGCACAATAATCTAACGAATGAGCAACGTCATTTTCGATTGAAAGAATAACGAGGGCTGAAAGCCGATCTTGTGTCGTTGAATTCCTTAAATATGTTTTGATAATTTTAAGCCTTGACAAACTAGCGTTGTTGACGGTACTGGTAATGATTGGAGGCAATGATGCGAGCGAGGCCCTGTGCGATTGAACAGTTCGCCACCCCCTAAGGCCACCGCTGTTCGCAGGTATAAGTATGTTACCATCGTTTAACTCGTCGAGTACCGGTTTTATAGACACAATTAAAGAACAATAGGTCGCGGTCACCGGTGACCGCTTGGTGTTTGACAGTTTAATCTGATATTGCACAATATGGATGTTTTCACCATCCTCATCATAATATCAGTCGCAAGACGTCTACGTTTGGCAATCTGCGTTCAGCATAGATTGCCCCTATGCCAGTTCGGCATTCAGATGCTTACACGACCTTGTACAGGTCACAGGTCTTTCAGAAAAAAAAAAATACAGAACAGATCTATATAGGTTAAGTGTGGAAGAGCCATGGTTCGGCACGAATGGGCCGGTTCGACCGGAGTGATACCACGGTCTCACAGAAAACCGACGTGAAACAACGCTTGCATTGTGTTTCGTCGTGTGAGTGAGGTTACCGGAGGCCCAATTACCTTCCCCTTCCCCAATCTCCCCAATCCTTGAATCCCCAACGATCTTCAAACTCCTAATCCCCAAAAAGCCGGTGACGCACTTGTAACGCCTCTGGTGTTCCAGGTGTCCATGGGCGACCCCGATTGCTTACCATCAGGTGATCCGTCTGCTAATTTACCGGCTTATGCCATAAAAAAATAGAAATTAGCACAGAGATAGAATTCAGGGCCGATTTTCCAATCATCGGTTTATTCTTAACTGTTGAATAAAATTGACATTTAACAGTTTGCAATATGGAACAACTGTCAAATATTCAAATTTATTCCTCAGATACAATTTATCTGCCATTGGAAAATCGACCTTTTATAGTCTGAAATAGAAACACATACTTTTCAACCAGGAACATAATCTGTATTCCATACAAAATCTACCCACCAATTTTCGCCATGGCTTCGAGAAAGCACGTACAAGCAATTATCATACAATAGCAACCTATTTCATAGGCCTCTAAGGTCCAAAATGGTAATTAAAATCGCAAATCTCGTACATTTATGTAATTCTCTAGTTTTTTTTTTCGCTATCTCATTGAGGGTCAAGCCACGATTCGATATTGACCCGTACAAGACTTGCATTGTAATACTGACCCTGGGATTTTCTTTAATGGACAGCGTGGGGACTGGTCGAGACTATTCTCGAAGTATCCTTAAATAATGCTTTAACGGTCCTGAAAAATATTGTGGGTTTTTAAGTATGTTTAGTGATAAGTATAAGCCATATTTTTTTTTTTAGTAAGTAATTAGTATAATGCGTCAAGCGTGTCTTTGCATTGTTCTTACATATGCGTACAGTATTGAAATATGTATCAGAGACATTGTAGAACATACTTTTTTAAAAAGAGTAACGAATGGAGTTTCTTGCTCGTTCTTCTCCATTCGAATCTACATTTTGGAATGAGCACCTAGCTTCACCTAGTTTCACTGACGGACTGACTGACAGACTATTATTTATTTTGTATTTGTTGACGTTTCAAAAGTACCAAACTATGGTTTAATTGAAATAAATGCTTTGACTATTACTTTGACTTTGATTAATTAACAGTCATTAACCGTCCAGTCGTCTACTGGTGAACTACAGTATATAAATTATATTTTTTTTTACTGACTGCCTCGTTGACCGAGTGGCCGCAAGTGCGTGTATGTTGTGAAAAGTGGGTGTTACATTGTACAGTGGCATAATGTGCACCTCTGTCTACCCCTTCGGGGATAAAAGGCGTGATTTTATGTTATGTTATGTTTTTTTATCCGATCCTCAAACTCCTAATCCCCAAAAGGCCGGTAACACACTTGTAATGCCTTTGGTGTTCCAGGTGTCCATGGGCGACGCCGATTGCTTACCATCAGGTGATCCGTCTGGTCGTTTACCGGATTATGCCATAAAAAAACCATAAATCACGCTTAAAGGTCTAAAATAAAACGCAAATATAGATTAAAAAATTTATATCCCAATTCCCACATGTAGGTACTTAATAAATTAAATTTGTTGTAACCCAATATTTTATGTAAATTACTGACTTAAAAAGATATTAAATTATACTTCATTTTCTTGATCACCAGTCACCTTCCGCCTCAAATGGTTTCCGCTAACCTGGTAGAAAGATAAAATAGGTTACTTCATTTTGGGAGTTTGAAAGTCAAATTCACACGTCACATATGATGTGACGTGTCAAGAGCCTGTAAATGCCGACTGCTGACCAAAAGCCTGTTCTAACACGGAGAAGGTTTGAGCATTAATCACCACGCTTGACTGCGAGTTGGTGATTTCAAACTTATAATTAGAAATTGCTAGTTATTGCCCACGACTTCGTTTGCGTAGAATATGATTCATATCTTATCCCATGGGAGCATTTAATCGAGATAAAAAGTCAGTCATATTATCTTAGTCGCCCATGCCCTACCTGTATAAATTTCATCAAAATTTGTTCCGTAGTTTCAGCGTAATTAACGGATAGAGATCCCAACAAAGAAACATTTTTTTTAATATTTGAAGGGCCCACGTTTGGCCACTATCTCGCCTGGTGGTAAGCGATGATGCGATCTACGATGGAGCACATTGTCCCATAACTTAACATTTATAATATTAGTGTGATTAGTGTGATAAACCTAGTTTTCCTTGCAATGTTTTCTTTCAACGCTTGTTTAAATAATCTTAAGGTAAAGTAATCAAATTCATTTTATTTTACTAAATTCACTTTTCTGTAAAAGTTCTGGTAAAAGATATTCGCTACTAATACCAGTAGCAACAAAGATTACTTCATTGGGCTCATGGGCTAGGTTGCTACGACGTGTCGCGCGTCTGATTATACGGTAATCAGAATCAGGTGTGATGAATAATGTGTAGCACCCACGGCACTCTTCAGTGCCGTATAATACCAATGCCAAGTTCTAACTCTACTTATTGTCCCGTACTAAAAACCTTCTCGAATATTCTATTCTACCTCAATAATCATAATGTTAAACAAGGACAGGATAAATGGTTTTTCGCTGTACAAATTCTAAAGCATGACTTGGATGCAGAATTTAATGATGATGTCAACTTGAGCACTATTCAATGGCAAATCAAATGTTCACAGTAATGTAAAGAAGAAAAAAACAGGAAAGTAGCAAAGTCAATTTTCACACACTTTTCTGTCTATCAACAGATTGTCTATGCTTTGAAAGTATTTGTCTGTGTAATCTCTAGAACTACTAACCTATCATCACGCTATGGCACTTGGGAGCGAAGCACGGAAGTGAAACTGCAAGCAAAAACTATTTGTCTATACACCGTTGGAAAATTTGATACCCAAACAAGTTATGGAAGAAAATGAAAAAGCCATAGATTGCTCTACATTGTATATCTTAAAGCAAAGCAAAAGCATTAACGTATGTACCTCTAAATAATGGGTAGTAACCAAAATTGAACTCTGCTCCCTTTATTTAAAGACCTATAATAAAAAAGTTGGTCTACTTACTCTATACCTTCGCGGTCATCTTCTGTTTCGGTGGCCTGGAACATTTATTAATCAATGCACTATATATTTTTAAAGTAAAAGATAGAATAATGTTAGTATCATCATCGTCAACAGCCCGTAAAACTATTGGACTATGAGCCTCTTCTACATAAGAGGATTTGTTACAACCTCCATGCTTTTTTTCATTTTTTTAAGGGGGAATATCATCGAATGACTGCTCACGCCTAGGTGAGGCGGGAAGGAGTGTCAGCCTCTTAGTAACTAAAAACCACCCCGTTCCTTCCTAAAATGTACAGGTTCATATCAGACATTACTGCTTTCTCCGACGAATGTGTAGTCCCTTGGTTAGGCCCTTATGATACACGTGGAAAGAGCAGGGGTGGTGATAAATGTCTACTCTGTCGTCCCAACAAGGCGCAAACTTAATATTACGACTTTTTTAAAGGTGAAAATCATCCAATGGCTTCTCCCGCTTCGGGTGAGGCTAGAGGGAATGTCACACTCTAACTGACTAAAAACTATCCCGTCCCTACCGGTTATTCTCGTTCATTACCCCCAACTTTCAATCGGAATGACCAGTTCCTACTCCTACTCTTCGAGTCGGACCCCCGGCAACTGGTGGCCCAATTATCCCCCCCCCCCACCGTTCTCAGTGTCCCGAATTCCCCAATCCTTACAATCCTCAAAATTCCCAATTCCCAAAAGGCCGTTAATGCACTTGCACGCCACTGGAGTTTCGGGTGTTCACGGGCGACGCAGATTCCTTACCATCAGGTGATCCGTCTGCTCGTTTACCGGCTTATCCCATAAAAAAGAACTCATCAAGTCTTCCGCAGTCCCATATCGGGCATCAGCACTACCAGGTGTCTATATGTGGTGATCTGATGGTATTTGATTTAATTAAGTAACTGACGGTATACCTGAAGGCTGGTAATTTCACTGTCTGTGTTGACCAACAGGTCTGACAGATATTGAGTGACGTGGTCCTCGCGATCCACCACGTCCACTTCATCATTGGGGTTGAGTATCTTCTTGTCCTGTAGCTGTGTTTCTTCTGAATTCTGCTGTACTGGTATGGATATGTTTGCTGGTTTTACTGCGAAGAAGATTTGTTTTGGTATTCTTTATCAAGGCTATAAAAATGTATGGGCGCTGTACTACTGCGCTGTACTACTTGTAGTTGTAACTACAACTGCTGAGCCAAAAATTCTGATTTATATCCCAGATTAAGGCAAAGAATTCATTCAATCGGGGATACCAAGACAATTTTATAATACATTTCCTAATATAAGCATAGTTTGGCAAAAATGTCGTCATGTAATAGAGATCGTAATATTATGACACTGACTAGAGCAACATGAACTTTTAAGTGTGGGAGAGCCATGCTTCGGCACGAATGGGCTGGCTCGACCGGAGTGATACCATGGCCTCACAGAAAACCGACGTGAAACAACACTTGCGTTGTGTTTCGTTGTCTAGTCCCTAGTCTCCCGAACCCTGAATCCTCCACAATCCACAAATTCCCAATTCCCAAAAGGCCGGTAACGCACTCGTAACGCCTTTGTATTTCGGGTGTCCATGGGCGGCGCCGATTGCTTACCATCAGGTGATCCGTCTGATCGTTTATCGGCTTATGAATTAAAAAAAATCTAAGTTTTCACTAACGCCCTCTACTAAAAGCAAAAACGACAGCTTAACTAAACCACACAAACCTGTAGTACTAGTAGTATTGTCTCCACGCATTGTAGTTTCATCTGTAATGTTTAATTTCTCATCTGTAGCCTGTGTCGGTTTCTTGAGTTCCCGATCCTGGGTGTCCTGGCTGACCAGGAGTTCTCTGAAGTCTGGTGTCATGTCGTCTTCGCTGAATACTTTTAGTATGTGACTCTGAAAATTTTGGAAAGGGACTCTGTAATATTTTGCTCACTTATCTAAGGAACTGTTTTAGTCATTAACAAACTTTCATTTAACTTGGAATGTATGTATGTGTGTGTGTGTGTGTGAAGTGGAATCTCGCAACTGAATTTTGAAGTAGATATCTTCGACCTCAGCTCAAAAAAACATAAACATAACATCACGCCTTTTATCCCCGAAGGGGTAGGCAGAGGTGCCCATTATACTACTGTACAATGTAACACCCACTTTTCACAATTTATGTTATGAGTCCCATGTAATAGGGGGTGAGCCTATTGCCATATCCCGGGCACAATTCCAGACTCCGTGCCTCTACTGTGAATTTTTAAAAAACCCAGTAATGCAGTCTGCCCTGCAGTCGCACTTACGACCACTCGGCCAACGAGGCAGTTATCATCAAAGTCCGTTGTTATAAATTCGATACATGACATCAGAACAGTCCTACAGCTAGGACCTAAGCCACGCCGTAATAGGAGCCGGTCCTATTTCCAAACAACAGCGCAAATCTCAGAAATGTTATGGCAGATATTGTTTATAAAGTACGATTATATTGTTATGAAATTAACGAGAATATCGCCGTCATTGTTCGTTATGTAATGTTGTTGCATTATTGTGTTATTGTTTGTGTTGTATTTCATTATGTATTTGTTGATATTATTGCATACCATACCATAATAAACAATGATTCACGACCTTTTAACCCTGAAGAGGAAGTTTTTTCTTAGGGGGGGAAATCATCGAATGACTGCTCCCGCCCGGGTGAGGCGGGAGGGAGTGTCGGACTCTTATTAACTAAAAACCACCCCGTTCCTACTCCTGGCCTTCGAGCCGAAGCCTCGGTAACCCGTTAAGTACTCCGCGGCTCTGAAGAGGTAGGTATGTAATTGATATTATACAATACAACTCTAATTGTGACATAAAATAGTTGCTATCGCGCGGTGTCACCCGCTCTGCTCGGCTCCTATTGATTGTAGCGTGAAATTTTAAAGCATAAGGCTATAAAGCCTACCCAGATCGACATATGGACTATCGATATAAAGACTTTTGACAGCACGGTTGGCGCGGTGGCTGGGCAACCGGTTGCAACGCGTGTTTAATTCCCTCACGGAACAACTCTGTGTGATCCACAGATTGTTGTTCCGGGTCTGGGTGTCATGTGTATGTGAACTTGTATGTTTGTAAACGCACCCACGACATAGGAGAAAATCCTAGTGTGTTGCAACACAAGCAAAAAGGAAGATTATTCAATTAGAACCAGTAGTTACGGAGATTAGTGCATTCATACAAACAAACAAACTCTTTAGATTTATATAATAATAAGTAAGTATACGTTATAAGATAGAGAGTGAGCTTATGGTTAGCTCAGGGATTTGGGAAGGGAGTAATTCGGCCTCTGGTATAGAGTACTTACGGCATGGGATAAAGTATTATAAAAGATTTTCGGTTTTTGGAAATTCTCAGTAACAATATGAAACCTGGAATCTTGTATGATGTATGGTATCAGATTCAGTGTCATTACATACAACACAGCATTCATACATAACACAACTACATACATAATTGTAACTAAAAAAAATATTGTCTGATCTGAATTCCGTGTGAATGTAAATTAACTAATTATTTTCTTTCTTCCTTTGCTTCATTGTTACGAGAAATACACAATCATGTGATACTTACACCAAACTGATTGTTGTAAGGCATGCTATGAATACAGCTTATCCTTGTTAAAGCAGCCACCACCAGCATGGTCAACTGGACAGAAAAGGCACAAGAATTAAAATACATGGAAAATAATAATGGTTCCGAAAAACAAATTAATCTCCAGCGATCTGTGGCCGACTATAAAAATGAATCTTCGAATAACAAAACTAAACTTCCGAATAGAATATTGAACCTCCGACAAAATTACTAAGTTACCGACAACAGACGTTTTAGGTTAGGTTAGTATTGTAGCAAAAAACAGCCATGTAAAGTAATCAGAAAGTTAGTATTTTAGGCAGTAGATTTAATATTTTCAGTAAGGACAATTCTTATTTTCTTGTCGGAGTTTTTATTACTACCCAAAATATATTACTGACTACACGGTTACTACACGGTCGTAGGTCAGATTCCCGCACGCAACAACTCTTTGTGTGATCCACAAATTGTTGTTCCGGATCTAAGTGTCATGAGCTTGTGAACTTGTATGTTTGTAAACGCACCCACGACACAGGAGAAAATCCTAATGTGGGGCAACGTTTTAAGAAAAAATTACCACCTATTCTTGCCTTACCTTATGTTGCTAGTGGTTGATATATGGTAATGAGACGTGGCCCCTGACCTCTGGCCTTCTAGAGAAGCTCATTGTCGCTTAGCGCGCGATGGAGAGAGCTGTGCTTGTGTGCGACGAAATATTGAGATTCGCTATAGAACTAGAGTTACTGACATACGTATAGCTTGCAAAATCTGCAAGGTGAAGTGGCAGGCCGTACTGCTTGGCAGACTGATGGCAGATGGGCCAGGAAACTGATCGAGTGGACACCATAGATCGGAAGACGAAGCGAGGGCAGGCCTTCTCGCTAGGTGGACCGACGACATCGTCAGAGTCGTGTGGAGCCAGTGGATGCAGGTGGCGAGTTGGCATTGGACGTAGGGGACTAAGGGGGAGGCCTTTGTCCAGTAGTGGACGTCTTTCGGCTGATGATTATGAGGATGAGAAGGATGATACTTTTCATCGCGTAGTCGGTTAAAAAATATCGACCTTTTACTTTACTCAGGTCTATACCTGAGTAACACTGCCTACCTGTGGTGTTTGAACCCTGAGGATATGGTTTTCTTTATCTTTAGTACTTATTTGAACTTGCCATAAAATACATAAAAATAAATATTGTAAATTAGTCCCAAAATTGAAAATTATATGATAAAACAAACACAAAGAAGAACAAGATAATTGTACGTTGAGAAATAATTTAGAAATCAACAAAATTGGGGTCGTTTAATATTGGACAAATAAATATAAGGAAACCGCCCTATTTAAAACGATTAGGTATGGTAATTGGTAATTGGCGAAATAGAATATTGAGGAAATGTATTGAAATGTAATAAAAAATATTACTTACAAGGTAGGTTGCTAAGTTCTTAAAAGAGTGAATGATATATTATTTTATACAGTGCAATTACAAAAAAAAAAGTATTAAGTAACAGATTAAGAAATTACAAAACAAAAGAATTAAAGTAAAAACGTTTTTCATTGTATATTGTAATAGTTTTTATCCAAAGCTAAATAAGAGTAGCATTTAAGTTAGTTTTGTTAAATATGTTTAGGGAATGATGGGTCTGGCATGGTCTTATGTGACAAAAAGACTCAAAACTAATAAAGATAATAAAAAAAATAAAGTAAAAACAAACCTTATACAAATGCAGATACAAGTCTAATTTCCATTCAACGTCAATATATATTTTTTTAATTTATATTATTAGGTGTTTTTGACTCACCATTAGAAATATATTCCTGGTTCAATATAGAGTAGAGTACACTAGGATTGGAGAGATCAACCACTAGTAATCCACTGTAACTACTAGATAAAACTAACCAAGACAGTTAGTATCACTGAAGATCAATATATCTGACAAGGGTGCGTTCCAATGGTGCGACTTTATAATGCGATTATCGGTACGAGAAATAATAAACGTCGACATAATTTTATAGCACTTGAAAGTCGATTAGTATGAGGCGTTGTGATAGTTGTCTGAAATGTAATAATATTTTTTATAATTTGGTTTTATAAAGTTTCTTGCTCGTTCTTCTCCATAGGATTCATAGGATGAGCCTTCGAATGAGCAAATAGTTAGCTTCACTTTTTTGTTGATGTTCAAAAGTGCCTTTCTGTTCTAATTGAAATAAATGATTTTGACTTTGGCATAACTCAGGAAACAAAATCGAGATCTCTTTCTTGAGATAGCAATTAAGTATTGACATTGATTTCATTTTTTCAGCCATATAACATATAGAAATAGTCCAAACTGAATTAAATTATCTAACCGTCAAAATTTCTTGGTTAGCTTAAAGAAACGAACCTGACACCAATATACGACTTTATATGTGGGAGAGCCATGCTTCGACACGAATGGGCCGGCTTGACAGGAGTGATACCACGGCCTAACAAAAAACCATAGTGAAACAACAACAGCGTTGTGTTTCGTCGTGTGAGTGAGGTTACCGGAGGCCCAATTTCCTCGGCAAAAGTCATAATGGTATTATTGTAACTTTCGTGAGACATACTAAATAAATTATTATGTTTTCGGCTTACTCACGTAATAATTTTTAACACATAATAATTCATGAGCAGCATTTCGCAACGCGTCGCGGGTCGCGAAATGCTGCTCATAAATATGAGCCTCTAGCATGGCTTGAAACTAGTCGAGTTCCTCGTCAAATTATTACGTGAGTAAGCCGAAAACATAATAATTTATAATGGTACTTGTTATTAATTAATAGGTTTGGAATACTCAAGCATGAGAAGCAGGCGTCTTAAACCTCAGGGACACCGAAACTTTATGTTTGAAAAAGCCTTAGCAAAGATATAAGATAAGAGATCATTCATACAAAACTAATATATTTTGACAAATGAGTTTGTCCTTTCAATCTATCTTGTTTGATATTATAAGATTAGTCCAATAACAATAAAAACTCCTTCATTGTATTCCCAAAGGGGTTCTGCTTATATTCAACCCTAAGGTTTCCGAGAAAAGTAAAGTCCTCTCCAGTAAAAAGGTTAAATAAATAGACCTTTTCTGTTTTTGTGTCATTTTTGATTACTGTAAGTGCTCTGCCTCTATCATTTGTATCAAATACTAACTATGCCCACACGGTTTCACTCGCCCTGCCCCAAGCACTATGACGTCCAACCCGTCTGCCAAGCGCGGAGAGCATCATTTTTTTTTATGGGATTAACCGGTGAACGGGCAGGCGGATCACCTGATGGTAAGCAATCGGCGTCGCCCAGGGACATCTGGAACACCAGAGGCGTTACAAGTGCGTTAACGGTGGGATTAGGGATTTGAGGATTTTTGAAGATTCAGGGATTGGGAAAGGCGAGGAGAGGTAATTGGGCTTCCGGTAACCTCACTCACACAACGAAACACACCTAATCGTTGTTTCACGTCGGTTTTCTGCTCGGCCGTGGTATCGCTCCGGACCAGCCGGCCCATTCGTGCCGAAGCATGGCTCTCCCACATTTTATGTGGTAGCGGTCCAGCAGTGGACTACTCAGTCATAATATGAACCTCTTATAATCTTCCCAAGCTGCTGAAAATCAGAAATGTTCATATAAAATTCGCAGTCGAGTCATAAAACAGTGTCGCAACTTATAACTAAGTTAATCTTTCTTCAGCGAACTTAGAACTCTGTACAAGTGGTTACAGGCTGAAAATAATCCGAATGACAAGTTACAAAGTTACTACAACCAACGTAGATTTATGTAAGTCATGTACGGATACCCAGCAACTTGAGATATACCAAACTGACAAGGATCTGCAACTTAATTTCAACCGTATGACATGTGAAACAGGATTGAATATCGTTTAAAGAATATTCAAAGATTTGGGTATCTTGTTGTGCTGGTTTTAGTGTATACTTTGTCTTGAAAAGTTGGCATCGTACTGAAATTGTTGTTCGCAACTAAAATTTCTTACATTTTCATCATAAATAATTTGTACCCACGGCTACACATCGAGCTTTACATAACCAGTATAAACTGAACGTTAAATGTGCGGAAAGATGATGCGACGCGACACCAGGATAAACTGGTTTTGTATAGATTGATGTGTAGCCGTGTGTACACGGTGACTGCGTTGCCTTGAGAATTGTAGTTGATTTATTGTCGTAAAGACTAATGATGAGGTCTTGGGTTCGGTCTAGGGATGTGGTTAAGTGTTATTGTGTATTTCGACTTTGAAACTCTAGATTTTCTCTGTCAATGCGTGTGTTTATAATTTTTAACTCCTCTATTTACTCTTTATTGGACTGCCTTGCTGGCCGAGTGGTCACAAGTGGACTGAGTGAAAAGTGGGTGTTACATTGTACAGTGGTATTAAGTGCCATAATGTGCAATGTACAATGTAACACCCACTTTACACTATTTATGTTATAAGTCCCATGTAATAGGGGGTGAGCCTATTGCCATATACCGGGCACAATTCCAGACTTTGTGCCACTACTGAGATTTTTAAAAACCCAGTAATACTTTGCCCGACCCGGGATTCGAACCAGAGACCCCTTGCCCGTATAGTAAATAAATAGAATGAAATAAATCTTTCTTTTAAATACTTAACAATTGACAATCTAAATTTGCGATTTCCAGTCGCAAGCATAGTCGCTTTATTAAAACGCACCCTAATTCCGTGTTGATGTTCCCCAGCTATTGTTTACATGCCACCTGATATTGTCAGACGATTAGCATAACATAACATAAGAAAACGAAATCAAATAATAGACATTTGATACAGCATACGTAGTCTCAATTATGGGAAGAATCATTGCGTGAACAACACAAATATAAAGACAAAGAGGAAATATTTGATTGTTTCCTTGTTTGTTTGTATGTGTTGAATAGGTTCGGAAACTACTGGGTACTCTTAAAACCAATATCAATGCAATTTCAATCCAATAAAATCTCAATTATTATTCAATGTCAACACTATACAACTCCTATCCTAGCTGTTAAAATAGCATTCAGAGTACGGAATATAAATTTAGACTCAATACTATTTAGT